TCCGGGTTTGGTTAAAAACGGGGGGAAACCCCCAAACCCTTCTAAAATAAAAGGAGAGGGGGTGGTGATGTCCCAGGGTGCTTGTCCCTGCAGAGAGCCCGGCGTCTCCTACCTCCCCGAGAGCACCTCGAGTGCCTTGGGTGGTTGTGGAGGGGCGAGGTGGGTGCCTGGGGGACAGGGAGCAGGCCCTGGGGGAGCGAAACCCCCAAACCCTTCTAAAATAAAAGGAGAGGGGGTGGTGATGTCCCAGGGTGCTTGTCCCTGCAGAGAGCCCGGCGTCTCCTACCTCCCCGAGAGCACCTCGAGTGCCTTGGGTGGTTGTGGAGGGGCGAGGTGGGTGCCTGGGGGACAGGGAGCAGGCCCTGGGGGAGCAGGCGGCTCCCTTGGCCGAGGACTGCGAAGGCCCGGGGGGAGCAGGCGGCTCCCTTGGCCGCAGGACTGCGAAACGGCTCGTGCCGGGCCCGTCTCTGTTTCACCAGGGTTATAACCTGCCAATTCTTGCAGAACCTGAGCGTCTCGAAGGAGCCCGTCAGTGTGAAGAAGTCCCTGCGTGGTGCTGGGGGCAGCTGCCTGCTGCTCGATACCCCCCCCAGAATCAGGGTCAGAGTAACTCACGAGCGGGCCGCCTTGCCGGTTTGAAACCTTGCTGGTGGCCGTCACCCAGTGTCTCCGCTGCACAGCTTGTGAGACTTCACGGGGGAAAGCCTCGTCTTCCTTGCCCCACCATCAGCTGTCGTCTCTTCAACATCCAGAGGGTGCTGGTGTGGCTGGCGTGGTGTTTGCTGCCTTCAGCTTGGTACTGGGGGATGAACGCCTCCGTGCAGTGGGGGTGAGGTGATAGGAGGCATCCGATGTCCCCTGCTCGCAGTGAGGAGGGTCACCAACACCTTGGTGACTTCCTTTGCCTCGTACCAGCACAATTGGCTGCAGGAGGGTCTAGGAAGGTTTGGTGGTACTTGTTCAGCAAACCAGGTCACTGTGTTGCTGCACGAATTCCCTGCTGAAGGTGTGAGTGGTGAAGGGTTTCAGCGCCTCTTCTTTTTTCTAATAGTCTCCTGTGCATGAATCCCTGGTTGTTGAAGGCTGTTGGCGTTAATTCACGCCAGCTTTGGCCAGCTGCGCTGGTGTTTGCTCCAGACAGTGACCAGCAGACAACAGGGGAGTTAAAACACTGGCTGGTGCTTTCCCAGGGTGAATCCCTCCCCAGCCACCTGCTGGCCTCAGGTTCTTGGGTTTGGTGTCTACACCGAGTGAGGAGCTCTCCTAGAGGGGCTGTAGAAGCTGGCTCCTCCAGCAGGCTGGTTACTGGCTGGAACGCTGCAGGTACCAGGGCTGATCTCCTAAGCTCTGCGAGCTGAGGCTGGTCACGTTGTCCCCTGCGAGGGCTGATACCGTGGCCTCTGCCTGCCTCACCCAGGCTTTTTCCAGCCTGCCTGCTCCTGCTGGCAGGGCAGGATGAGTTGGTGGCTCTGGCAGAAAGCTCTCCAGGAACCTTCTCCTGTCAGCAGTTTCCCAGCCCTGATGTTTTCCCTCGGCCGGGCACAGCGAGGCCTTGAGCAGGAGGCTGCGGCTGTGAACGCAGGACCTGCCTGCTGCTGGGAACGGAGCTGGCCTGGCCAAGCTTCTCCTGCTGCTGGCACAAAGCTGGAGCTGTCTCTGCCCCACTTCTGATGACGCTCCTGACCTGGTGCTGCCCTGGTGTCCCTGAGCCATGCTCGCTCAGCAGGAGGCTGTCTTCTGCTGGTGGCTTAGCAGCAGGGAACAAGGCAGAGTTGGGGAGATGTGGGTAGATTCTGCCCTGCTTGAGCTTGTGAGGATGAAACTCTCACGTTGGTCTGGGCATAATGGAGCAGCAGAGTCGCATGTTTTGAAAATAACACGGGGAAAGTGCAACCCTGGCCTTGCAAGAAGAAGATGCTGATACCTCTGGCTGGCACCAGGGCACGGTGATGGTCTTGAACTTCTCAGGACCTTTCTTTGTTGAAGAACTGGAAGATGTAGTAGGTGGCTTGTTGCTTTGTGGTAGAAGCAGCCTACCAAAATGGACAAGTGCCAACTGCCGTGGGCTTTCATGCAAATAAAGCATCCCTCTGCTGAAACTGGAGTCTGTTGAGCTAAAGCAGCTTATCAGGTGCTTAGTGTTGTTGTTGAAGCAACTGTCATAACTAATACTTGGCTCTTCTGTGCGAACCGGTGGCTTTGATTGTCTGGCTGCCCTTGAGCGTTAGCAAAACACTTTCTGTGAAGCAGGGGAGTTGGGCTGGTGAGGCAGATCCACCCGGCTGCCGGCGTTCAGGTGGCTTGACAGCACTTAGCCATAACACAGTAGCCAGCAAAGAAGTGTTTGGGTCATCCACAAATATAACCGGAGCTGGACCTCATCCGTCTGTTGACAAAGGTTGGATCGCTGTGTGATCGCAGTCTAGGGATGCCCTCAAGTGCCGGCTCTTCTGACCCAAGGTCCGCTTCCCTGTGGTAGGCATCGGGCTTGCACTGGGGGACCTAGAGAGCTTCTGCCTGCACGCCTGGTGTTTGGGGTGTGCTAAATCAGGCCTCTGAGATGGCGGGTGTTGTGTCATGGGCTGATCTAAAAGAGTTCCGTGGCTTTTCTGTAGTAGCAGATGGAGAAGTAGGAACAGGGTGTGGTACTTTCATAGTCTTAGACACTAAATTTAAGGCAAACTGAGAACCCGGTCACAGTAGAAAAGTAGGTCATCTTCCAGCTCTTAAATGCGGAAAAGGACTCATTAGGGAAACTTCAGAGCCCGCCTTACCTTGCCCATGTAGAGTGGGGTTTTCTTTACCAGCTTGAAGAGCTCCTGCAGAAGCAGAGGATCAGAATGAGACCTGCTACAAATGTCCCTGACTTAGGTCACTGTGGTGTTAGCAGCCCTCTTGTTGGCTTGGCTGCTGGCTGGAGGAGGTCACTGTGGTGGTAGCACTCTTGTTGGCTTGGCCACCAGCTGGAGGTCTGTCTGGAGGACCCTGTGGGGGTCTGGGTGTGATGTTTGGCGTGGGTCTCTCTGCTCCCCACTCTCCATCACTAGCAAATGTAGCTCCTGCCTATAACTGTTCTGATCCAGGCTGGGAGCGGTCCCAGCTTTCTCCTCCAGGAAAACAACCTAAAATGCAGGAGGACTCACCATGGTGGTCCTCAGAACCAGCGTGTGCTGGTCACAGAACATGCTGATGTTCTGTGTACCCAAAGGCTTGGGCCCACCTCAAACAGGAGCTGTGTTAGCACCACTTTACTCCTTCAGGAGCAATGGGAACCGATGATGTTTCCTTGCTGAAGAAAGTGCCAAGGAGCCCGTCGGTTCGGAGGCGCTGCTAATAGTGCTGCATTTACTGGCTGTCAAAGACCTGTTCTGTTCTCTACTAAGACATTAAAGAATAGCGCTTGCTGTCCGATTCTTGCTTAGAATAACTTGTGCTTGCTTGTCTGCCTGCAAAATGAGGTATGATTTGTGAGGCCGGTGTCCGT